CTGAGTTGGCTCGTCGAGGTTACTACAATGGCACCAAATTCCACAGAATCATCAAAGATTTCATGATCCAGGGCGGTGACCCAACAGGGACAGGTACAGTGAAGCTAACGTTAGTTTCTGGGTCTTTCTCTCATAACTGAGTGCTAAGGCAGCCAGGGTTTTCTTTCCCATTTACGTGGGTCTGGGTTGATTGATTTTAGTGACAATTCCTGCCTTCCCCAAACAAATGTGGAATTGACCAGAAACTAATTTTGACTCCTGGGCATGATAGTTTTCATACCTTCTGTGTGTTTTTCAGCAAGAACAGATAATATTTGCTTAGACTGTAGTGACGCATAGAGCAGTCTGATCAATCAAAAGTTAAAATTTTAAAAAAAGATATACAGTATGTTGAAAAGAGTGAAATATTGGGTTCCTTCATTGGCTCTTTCATTGAACAGATATTGAGCTCCTGCTTTGTGTCAGATGCTTTTCTAGCTGTGGTGAGATAGCTGTGAATAAAGAGTTCCCGCTCTCAGTGAACTGGGAAAGGAGTATGGGCATACAATTTTAGAGAAACAGTCAAAGATTTGAGATGTTATTGGAGCAGAGATCTGAAGGAGGAAAGAGAATGAACCTTGTGATAGGAGAGAAAATTCTGGGTGAATTGAAGAGCAGGTGCAGGGCCCCTGAGGCAGGAGTCTATGTAGACCTTGTAGAAACTGGTAGAGACTTTGGGTTTTATTTTGAGTAAGATAGGAACCGTTTAGAGTTTTGATAAAGGAATGACATGATCTGACATATGTTTTAAAAGGACCACTCTGGAGAACAGATGAAGGGAAAAGAATTGGAGCCAAGATCAGTTAGGAGTTTGCTGTCTACAAAAAATGGTTGAAGTAGGCTGTTAATAGATAAGGTGGTGAAAAGTCATTGGATTCAGGCTTCTTTTTGTTTGTTTTTGTGGGGGGGTTGATACTAGAGATTGAACCCAGGGGTACTTTACCACTAAGCCACACCCCAATCCTTTTTATTACTTATTTATTTTTAATTTTTTAAATTTTTATTTTGAAACAGGATCTCACTAAGTTGCTTAGGGCCTCCCTTAGTTGCTGAGGCTGGCCTCAAACTTGCAATCCTCTTCGAAGGCTGGCCTTYGAAGTCTCTGCGACTACAGGAGTGTGCCACCGTGCCTAGCTGGATTCAGATTAGTTTTAGATAGAGCTGATGGGATTTGTTGACAGATTGGACAAGTGGTGTGAGAGAAGGAAATGGTCAAGGATGACTTCAAAGATTTTAACCTGAATAGTGAAATGGAGCAGGCTGGTAGAGAAGCAGATTTGGAGGAGAAAGATCAAGAATTTAGTTTTGGACACATTCTATTTGAAATACTCAGTAATCTTCAGGAATGTTGAATAAGTAGTTGGATATGAGTTTGGAGTCCAAGGAAAGAGCTGCCATAAAGATATGAATTTGGAACTTGTGGATTTTAAGTGGGCTTTATTAGCGAAACGGGTGGAATGCTTACTCATTTCAAAACCCTTGCTTCTCAATTTGCTTGTTGTCTGCTAATTCCTGTTCTTTTGCCTTTAAACAGTCTTGGTTTTCTCTGTGCAGAATCTTGTCACACTCTTATTATTCTTTGCCATTCTTAATTATCCTTTATGTCAGAACTAACCCTTTTTTTAATGTACATGGACACATTTCAAAAATACAAAATACGTGGGGCTGGGGTTGTGGCTCAGCGGTAGAGTGCTCGCCTAGCATGTGCAAGGCCCTGGGTTCAATCCTCGGTCCTGCATATAAATAAGTACATAAATAATGTAAAGGTATTGTGTCCAACTACAACTAAACAATAAATATTTTTAAAAAATACAAAATACACAGGAAAAAAAGAAAAATTGCTCAAAAGCAAAGCTCCTAAAACTTTCTAACCACTATTGKCTTATCTCCTAATATCCTTCTGCTGAGAAATGCACACTGTTGGCTTTTGGAGGCACCATTCTAGATGTCTTTCTTTTCAGATATCTAGTTAGGAGTATGCAGGGAAGGCTGGGTCTGTAGCTTAGTGGTGGAACACTTGCTCAAGGCCGTAGGTTCAGTCCCCTGCACCAAAAAACAAAGGATGAATGGATAACCATTTAGCATAGATAATTTCAAGAGAATGGGATATTTCTTTATGCTTTTTTTTTTTTTTTTTTTTTTTTTTAAGCATGATAGTGTAATGGTTTAAGTCCCTCTTAGTTCAGGGCCACACATGTAATGTCCCTGGCCCTTCCTCTGGGAGCATACCTGAGCTTGTGGCCATGATACGGTGGTTGGGAGATGGTGGAGTGCAGTACTGCCTCCTGCTTGGGCATGTGGCATGCAGCTGGGTGCAGCTGGGGAGTGTATCCTGCATCCTGTTGCACGTGAACCAAGGCGAYGTCCGATGTCCCTGTTCTACTGACATCATTCCTACTCAGCCTTCATGTGTGAACACCATCTGTATGCTATTTTTAAAACAAATAGTGGTATATGTAACTTTGTGTATATTTGATTTTGTTTCTTTTAATTTTGTATATATTTAACTATATTTTTTTAACTGAAAAAACTGACTTCCTCTATGAAAGATGAGGCAATTAGTAATTAAAAGTTTCTTATTCCTAATTTTTGTTGGTAGTTTTATTTTGTTGTCTATACTGTAACTCAGCTAYAGTGTGCATTCTATTTCAGGGGTTCTGTGCCCACCACTTTGATATCTTCACATGTGCTAGAGGAAAGGATTTTGTGTCTTCTTTTTTAAATTTTGAGACTGGGTCTCGCTAAATTGCTAAGGGTGGCTTTGAACTTGTGATTCTCCTGCCTCRGCCTCCTAAACTGCTGGGATTATGGGCTTTATGGCACCCACCCAGCAAGATTTCTTATCTATTGGTTTTTATTGCAAGAGCTGGAGGTTATTATATTTTTTAATTGGCTTCTGTTTGAGAATTTTCTGTATTTATTTCGGTACAGGGATTGAACCCAGGGGTGGTTTACCACTGAGCTATATCCCAACCTTTTTAAGTTTTTATTTTGAGACATCTCACTAAGTTGCTAAGGCTGGCCGTAAACTTTCCATCCTACCTCAGCCTCTCTCAACCTCCCAGAGTCACTGGGATTTCAGGCCTTCCTTCACCCAGTTGTTTGTGAATTTCTGCATATTCCCTTTATACTTGAAAAAGACCATGACTAGGTATAGTATTATTCTTGGGCCACATTCATTGCCTTATATCTTTTCAGACGATTCTGATCCATTGCCTTCTGGGTTTGAGCACAGTTTTGGAAAATTCTGAGGTCAGATTTACTCCTTCCTTTGATTCAAAGGGAAATTTCTTTTTTCTTTTTAATATATATTTTTTTAGTTGTAGATGGACACAATACCTTTATTTTATTTATTTATTTTTAGGTGGTGCTGAGGATGGAACCCAGGGCCTCCCATGTGCTAGGCAAGCGCTCTACCGCTGAGCCCCAGCCTCACATTTCTTTTGTGGGAAAAAGATGGCTTTTCTCTTTCTGCGCTACCTTTACTAAAAGAGTCCCAAACCCTCACTCTGCCTCACTCAGTTTTCAGTCATGTCTGTTCTTTGCTGCTCTAATTTATTTATTACCTCTTTATTGGTATCTATTGGATCTCAATTTGTGTCCTTAGCGCTGCCATCTTTTCACCTTACTCTGTGATTTGTTGTCTTCTCTTTGAGCTTTAGTTTTATTTGATTCTCATTCCTACTAAATCATTGTATCTTGAGACAGCCGTAGAGAAGCCACTTCTCAGGACATTTTCTCCCGCGCTGAGTTCCTGAAGTATTTTGTCCTTCCTCCCTTTCCTCTTTCTGTCCTCCCATTTGTTGTGGTTTGTTTGCAGTTTCTGTGCCGGTTAATTTTCGCACCTGTGTTGGGCCTGYCTTCCTCTGCTCAGGGACAGTGTAAGTGGAGTTTCCTGTCATTCTCCCCATATATGTGGGCCAGATGTTTCCCCCACTCCAAATGCTAGGGTTCTCGTCTCCATCTTCTCCTAGCCTGAAGAGCGTTGGGGAGCCTCTTGTGGAAGGGCTTGCCTCTGATCTGCCTTTCAGACTCCCCAAACCCTGTCCCAGGGCTTTCTCTACCAGCCAGTGGTGACCTTCTGCCTCCACTCCGACTCATCCATCCCTCAAGTGCCCTAGAAGGTGGCCAGCCCTGGGATGTATGTGGGTGACTGCCCTCCAGGGCTGTGCCACGCTGTGTCGGGGTCGCTGGGTCATTCCCTCTGCTGGCTTCTCAGAGTTGGAGGGTATCTGTGGGAATTCTCAGGAGGACACTCCTTTCCTGTTATGACCTTAGGTAGTGCAGGCAGGAGAGTCTTCTATTTCTTTTCTTGGCTGACTCTTTTCAGAATTTTTAGAATGTTCGTTTTCTTTATTTGGCTGATGCTGGTGAACTTTTGGATTTTTAAATTTTCATCATTCTCTGTTCCCTTCTCTGGTTATTGAGTGGAGGTAGAGTCTAATCCTCCCTCAGTCCACTTTATCTGAAAACGTTCTGCCAGTACCTCAGTGACCTCTTCCTGTCTTCTTCCTTTCTTCCTCGCATTGCGATAATGAAATGAATTTTAATTCATAACACCAATGAACTGAGAAGTCTGTGGTTAGTGTATAAGAATCGGAAATGACTCAGACACGAGTTGCTCATGCCAGAGCTCCCCTGTATTTTTGTACTTGGTTTGTGATCCTTCCTAATGTCACATTTCCATGATACAGTTTTAATGAAATTGAATCACAAGAAGATTTCCAAATAACTGCATCCAGCCTCAAGTATAATGAGTGTTTGAGCAGCTGCCAGAAGGTCTGTGATAAAAAACAAACAGAAGGTAGGCCTTCCTGGGTCACTGGATCATGCCTGCTTGCTGAGTAGGTGACACATTTTTTGCTAAACATCTCGGGTGGCGTGTGGCATCCTGGGATCTTCAGTAATTTGGTGTGCCATTTCAGCTGTCCTGTTTGGCTACCCTGGAACCATTTTTTCCACAGTCGTCTTCTGATACATCTTTCCCAGATGCTTTCTCAAATACCCTTTGACTTCCTGCTTCATTTCCTTTTTCTGCCTTCAGATGCTCATAT